GGTGTTAATGACTACGTACGCGCTCTGTCCCAGTATATGTCTTCTGACTGCGAGATAATGCAAAAAGATACAATCGGGTGCTTTGTCTCGTAACAGAATTTTTCTCTGAAAAAATTGAAGAATTTGCAACAAGTAATGATCGTAACGTAAAACATAATCGCGAGGAAAATCCGTCGCATCTTTTTTTTCGCGGATGTAAAAGACATCGTAGCTGTTAAAAATCTTTTTATTAATTTTTACTCATTAATTTCTTATTACACATATTTTTTGAACATATAATACTATAATGGCAGATTCTTTATTCCAAATAGTAGTATAAGATTGTTTCGAATGTGCCCATATATATTCAAAACAAATCGCCACGGTACGTCGTCAAAACAAAGCCCGACCCGCCTCGTGGTGCCGTTAACCCCGGGATCAACCGTCTGCGCGAAGAGAGCTCGATCATTAATGTGAGTCCTCGTCCTTCCGTCTCCGCGCGGTCCTTACTGCGGATTTAAGGAGCCCGAAGGAGAAGGACTTGCGTGCGCGTAGACGTTGGCACGAGTCGCGTGGGCACACATATAGGTGGAGATAGGTGGGTAGGTGGGTTAGCGGGCAGCCGAGCAAGCAGGCGAGCGGGCAAGGCGAGAGCCTGGCAGGCAAGCAGGCAGGCAGGCAGGCAGGCAGGCAAGTAAGCAGGTGCAACGCTGATGTTGCCTGAGGACTGAAACAGCTGTCGTCTTGCCGTGCCCTACTGCAGGCGCACGCGCCGACCGCATCCGCATTTACATTACGTTGCGTTACCATTCTCTCCCCGTTCTCTCTTTCTCTCTTTCTCTCTTACTCTCCTCTTTCTCTCCCCTTCCCTCCCTCCCTCCTTCTCTCCCGGTTTTAATCGGCATCTTCGCGTAACGGTCGTCGATCCCGCGGCGGATGAACGTTTCCTAGAAAAACCGACTCGATCCCGCCCGATGCGTCGCGATGCGACGTGCAGAGCTCCCGCCTGGTCACGGCATATATCGATCGACTGTCCGTATTTTCTCTCCTCTCTCCTCTCTCTCTCTCTCTCTCTCTCCCTCTCTCTTTGGCTGGCTGCTGTCCGCTCACGCGAGAGATACCTACCCATGTATGTGGATGTTTTTAATTATGCACTGCCTCGTGCGGCTTTCAAATGAGATACCGCAAAGATATCGCACGCACGATTTTAGATAGTCTGGTTGTCCTTAACGGAAATGAGAAAAGATGTACACCTTGTACTGCCGCGCAAAGTACAAGTATTACACCTTATGCATTTATTATTGTTATTGTTATTGTATGTGTTTTATTTTGTTTACTTATATTTAGTTTGCAATATTTTATTTTAAAGATTATTTGAAGACTTGGTACTGGTATCCAATATACCTAGATGAGGTCATCTTATTTTATCTTTTGAGAATCTATTTCCGTGAATCACACAGTCCCAAATTAAAAAAATTCCGATATAAGGGTGCTTCTACAGCTGTCACCATTGCACCTGTAGTCCTCCCTCGTTAGGAAATCCAGTTGAAACGGTTCATTGGCCGGGTAGCATGCCATCCCTCCAATGAGCGCCACAGGAGATGAGGGTTGAATGAGAAAAGGCAGTCCTCAAGGGATCTCGAAAGCGTCCTTTCTGCGAAAAGGGATGAAAAGGGGCGTAGATGTAGAGCAGAGGCATGCAATTGGCTGCAAAATGCCGCGTCCGAGCAAAACCTTTTGCTATACAACTGCGTTTCCAAAAGTTACTGCCTTTTCTTAATAAAATTCTGTTTTTAAAAAGGATCTACAGTGATCGTTGGTTTTTGTCAAAGTTATGAATACGCATTATCGGCATTATGCTAGAAGAAGAAAGTATTGACATAAAATACTTCAGACATTTATTAAAAATATCTAAGTTGTTTTAAAAATTCATTATACGTTGTAACTTTATACGAAATATCATTTTCCAAGAGAAATTAACGGTGCACACAGCCACGGAGAGAGAACGCGCGCGTTCAAACGTAAAGAACGCAAAGTTTGGTAATCGTAAAAATATTCTGCCTCTCTATATCAGCTCCGTTCTTTCCGCGTGTACATGCTTATCTGCCGCGCTGATCACCCTGTTACGGTTTACGTATAGCGAAGCATGTGAAATTAACGAAACAAGGCGGGCTTATTTTGTAGCACCGAGTTTACGAGCACAGCGATGTTATTTTTAGCATTATTGCAATATTCTCTCCATGTATAGATTGCCAAATTACCCAAATATAGAAGTTTCTAAAAGTAACGTCTTTTTCTATATAATTATCGTTGCATTGTATTCTAAAAAATTACACGCGTACCGTACATTTGTGAACTATATAGATTTACAATATTACATTTGTACGAGAGTTATGAATTTCGCCGTTCACAGATTTTAAATATTGTTAACAATAAATATTATTTGATAAACTATTTTGCTATAAATTAACGCTAAAAATCAACAAATTACAATTCAATTGTTTTTAAACTGAGACAAAGCCACCAGAAAGTATGAACGCCGGAACATTTGCATGTGCTCGAAGTTATAACACACGGAAAAATAAGTACTCATACAGTCAGATTCGGTGGTACTGATCCTGCCCACATTCGAGAACGTTGCTCCCAGATTTTGATTAGCTGACAATGTCCGGGCGCAACCGGTGAAAGGATTGGGCGGCTGCGTTTCCTAGAAAACTTTCCACGGGAGAATCAAAACGCAGTATATCGGCTACGTGGAAGGCCATTAGTGCATTATGCAACGTAACGACGACGGAGGAGCCGCTCGCGAGACCCGGGGGGACGAAAGGAAAAAGGGGACGAATCGCCGATACGCCGTTTATCGTTATCGGGAGCGAGCGGTGTGTCTTTACTCCTCCCTCTGCCCGCCGCGCAAAAGTCGCCAAACGAGGATACGACATAAGCATCGCTCCTATCGGCATAAGCCCGCTCCTGTTTCCCCCTGCGACGATTATGCGAACGACAGGCAGGGCAGTACTCCTCGCGGATATGATATCTCTTCTTTCCGCAAAAGCGTGGAAAGCGACGTCTGTTCCCTCCGACAATACGCCGCAGTTTTATTGCGCTCTAGATTTTTCGATATATCATGGAAATCGTTGCGTATATTATCTCTAACAATACCCGAGGTACACCTGTAGTCTCGTCAGTTTTTACATCGGCATCATAATTTTCTATAACGTCAAATACTTCGCGCGAGTTCTCTTCTCTTGCGTTCGCAAGGTCGCTTCGCGATAAATTAAATTTTAATCGACGGCGCTTTCACATTCACATATTTTTTTTAAAACGCGCGTTTAGCTTCTTATTGTTCTAGAAACGCTTCTATTCCCACGTTACCTTTGCGAATTGACGCGCGCGCTCTTCTCTCGTATTCCCGCGCAAGAGTCACTCTGTAACCGGCGTATACTCAAACGCGTCATTAAACGGAGATTCCCGAATCGTTTGCGGCGCGCGAGAGGCAATTTCGCCGTAACCGGCGAGGGCAGGTGGCCGTACGGCGGTGTAAACGTGGCGAAATGCCTCCTGGAGGCAAACACAATAGCGGGTGTGCGTTGTTCGCGAGCATCGGCGAGCAGCGATTCCCCGGCGTGTCGAATCGGCGACGACGCCGCGCCGGTTTCCTACTCGGCGTAAAAGGAAAACCGAGCGATCACGTGGCAGTGTGGAGTGAAAGTGCGGAGGAACGGAGAGCTAAGGCTGGATGCGCCTTGGTTAACGATCGGCGTGGCCAATAAGATGGTAAGGGCCCCGCTCATCGGTCATAATGTATCGCGGGGCGCGCGTTGCGAAAATCTCGCTGACGCGCGCCGCGCGGCACTGTCGCAACCGCGGACTCGAATTTCGCGTACGGATAATTCGCAATTGCGTCGCCGCGGCCGCGGCGTGCGCCTTGATCGGGTAAATAAGGCCGGCGCGTAACGACGGACGGCACAATGCGTTGCGTTAGCGAGGTCCGATCCGCTTTGGATGGACGGAGATACCCGGCGAGGCCTCGCCTCGCGGGGGCAGCGGCGTTGTTTGATTTACGCGCTCCACGCTCGATAATCACGCGTGTCGTAATGATAATTGAGTTATAAACTGTACGTTCCCAGAGTACGCGTAGAGACGCTTACAGCAATTATGCTAATTGAATGCCGTGGAGAAAGGAAGCACGAATCCGCGATGTGGTATAGCGCACGTATACTGTACGACATAACAAGAAGAACGCGGCGGCTTATTGTCTCGTTACTGTCATTGTTTTGGCAAATATTTATCGTTACTCTCTCTCTCTCTCTCTTATTATCCTTCTATTTTTCGCAATTTGCGTCTACCGTTACGAGAGCTATGCGTATAATGTAAATTTTGTTGTAAACAACTTAAGAAAACTCGATATACCTTTATTTTGCAATTTTGATTGCGCGCCTACGATAGACATCTTATCTATCAAATTCTAAGAAAATACCCAGTAAAAGAGAGAAAAAAAAAAAAACAGGGAAAATGTAGAAGCGCGTCCCTGCGCGCAAGCGAGCAGCGATATTTACATAACAATCGCGGATCACGTAACCGTCTTTTGCCTTCTCCCGTTGACGTGTGCGTCTGCCGGTCTATCTGTAGGTGTCGCGTACCAATACTCGGTATATACGCGACTTGGAAAGTCAAGTAAACGCCTTCTCTTGCGCGAATCGCAATTTCAGCGCGATACAATCGAAGGTACCAGTCCCGAACGAGAAGCAGAAAAAACGAAGCGCGAATAAATCTACAATAACTTTTTGTAACTAATAAATTTATTAATTGTTAATTTTTAATCTAACTAAAAATTCCTATGTCGCGTGATACCAGCAACTGTGATATCTGCAATTTTTATTTTTAATATACAACATGAATTTTCGGTATTTTAGAAAGCAGGAAACGGATAAATCGCGCGTCCCTTTGTTATTATTTCATATATTTAGTTTCTCAACGTTCGAAATTGGCATAAAACAAACGCAGGATATACGCATTTTCTTAGGCCTGATTGATATTACGCAAATTATCGAATTAACAATGTCGCGATTCATGTCGTGACGTACATGCACGCGGTACGAACGCATACACGTTAGCTATTTAAGTTTAACAATCTGATTAATAATCTGGTTCAGTCCCAAATGCGCGATCATATAGATAAGAACGTGATTATCGGTTTTAATTGCGTTATAGCGTGATGAAGTGGCAAAACACTGGATGAGCTATGCGAACAAAGTCGACTATTCGTGGCGTGTGAGCTTGAACTTGAGATCATTCCACTTAACGCAAACATACATGAGGCCAAGTACGTAATACGTAATACACAAGTACGGCGCGGTAGATAAGGACTTATCGCGTGGACAAAAATCGCTCAAGACCGAATTTGCAAATGCTCTATCGTTATCCTGGAGCCGTGAGTGACCACAACGTTTTGCTGTAAGAAAAGATACGTTACATACACATATGTGTATCTGAGCACACATTTTCGTGGCGAGTTACAATTTTTTTTTTAATTCTAAATCGTTAAATATATAATTATTTCTAAACGTTACAAAAATTTTTTGATGTGTAAAGATGTAATTTTTTGTCGTGGATTTGGAGCACAGTAGTTTATTTAAAATACTTGAATTTTTATAGACTATTGAATCAGATATTTATTTTGAAAAGCACTTTTTTTCATAGTTAATGACATAATATCCATCGTGAAGAGGAAGCACAGTTGGTCAAGGACTCTCGATGTAATAATGACACACGTAATGTATAAGTATGTGTGTGATATAAAAGCAGAAATCAATAATCTATGATAGGATAATAGGAACCTATATACCATCCCTATTCCATATCTCGTGTAAAAACTTTAATATGACCTTTTTTATTATGACTTACGTAAGAATATCGTACTTATGGTAGTTAATAAACATAAAAAATTTAATAAAAATAAAGAATTACTTATAATGAATTATCGGAGTGTTCCATGTTAATTGCATTAAGACTCTACTTGGCCGTATAAGACGGATAATGTATGCTTTGAATATATTAGACTCGCGCAAGAACATCATTAAGTTCTTTTCCCGTGTTCGATCCATCACGAGCGACCCGGCGCGGCGTCGGTCGCTAAAAGAAATTAGAATATTGCAGCGCCGCGACTCGGCGAAGCCATTTCTAGCCGCCGATCGAGGACACATTCGGGGAAAGGGATGGCGAGAGGGCGCGAGGGCTTTCCAAGGATATTAGGTGTCCGAGCAGTGTCCCGGGGACGATTCATCGCCGTCTGGCGGAAAGGGGTGGCCGGCTCGAAAGATAGAGGGGGCGGAGGGTGCCTGTACAACAACCACCGGGCGGTTGTGCCTCGGGGATAAAATTGATTCCCGCATGTGTGGCGCATCAATGGTTCCAAACAAATCGTCAAAGTGATTTTATGTTGTGGCCGGTATCGCGATGGCAACCGACCCGAACGCCATGGTAACGCCGCTGGCTCATTCGGGGTCTCTAATTCACAAACCTACGGACGCGTCCGTACAAAAGCGCCCTATTTGAGATATTCCGTAGAGCAGCGCGTAAACCCATGCTGCTTTTCGACTTTCGTGGCGGAAGGAGGTCGAGGGGTGCGAGGGAAACCGGCGAAAAAGGGGCGTTCGAGATCAGGGAAGGTGAGGGAGGGGGAGGGTGAGAAAGAGAGGGCGCGAGAGGGAGCGAGGAGGGTGAGAGATAGGTGTGGGAGGGAAAGGGAGAACCGGAGAGCCGCTCGAGGTGGAAAGAGTGGCAATGGTGAGGGGCGGGGGAAAAGAGAGGAGAGAGAGCGAGCTGCTACACCCCACGTGTGTTTCTCCACGAGTCGCCATGGCGACCCTTTGGCGTTCGTTACAGTAATGGGTTGGGAGAACAGCGGCCGGGAGGCGCTCGAGTCTCCCACGCTTGTCGGGGACACCTGCCTTAACGATTATCCTGTTGAAGGAAGGAAAGACGTCTCTATCAGGCGAGATTTTGCCGATCCTGTTGTACCGACAACAACCGATTTTTAGCACCCGTATAGTCTCGCGTCTTTACAGTGTGTATAGTCTTTAACGGATACTTTCGTCTTTTAAACGAGCGTTTGACTGATACGAAAGGTGCTTTCGTGTCTGATACGTTAGCCCTGACATTAATAGAATAAAAAAAAAAAATCCGTAAGATTTCTAGACACGTAGGGATACCTTCTGTTTTTCATCCGTGCACCCTTCCACGTATTTGGAACCGACTTTTCCTCGACGATAAATAAAGCCTGATCGCAATCGCAGTAATAGGTTCACGTAGCATTGTTGAAACACGTGTACTCTGAGTAAGCAACTTGCGTGAGGAAAGTTTTCTCTGCTTTTAATGAAATTCCGCATTTACACTGGAGTTTATCTTATATCAAAAATTCCTAATCGCGCATTACAATTATTGTCATAGGATAAGTCAGATTAAAAGATAACTTCAATATCGAATGGCGAATTGTCATGTATCGAAGCACGGATTATTACATCGAATTTTACTATGTCAATTTTCTGGTAACATTTATATTCGGTAAGTGCTAATAAATTAGTTTTTGAAGCTAGAACGATCTTCTGAACTCGTGACGTCTAATAGCATAATCGTTTTTCATAGGCGCTGCTCCTAAAGTGGCACACGCGGAAATCTATGATCGAAATAGCAACACGAAAATCTCGCGTGACAATATTTATCTGAAATCGCGACTACTGACATTATATCCGAAACGTGAGCGCGTGCAAGAAATTGTCGGAAGATAACTTCTCACACATCGTATACCGTTAGACTGTAAAAATTGCTTCTTGTCTCCTTGCGCTGATAATAAATATCGGTGGAAACGTTTATGCGTTTCAATGCAATTCAATGCGGTCTCAAATGGACGTTGGGATCGCAGAATGTTCGAGCTGTGAATAATATTTTGTCCATTTGCATAATCGAATCTAATTGTATGACTCTGCAATAGAGTTATCGTTCTCTTATACAGTTCTGCAAAGGGTAAAAGTACAGAAATGTAATTTATCTAGTGTAATTTATCTAATTAAGATAAATTAACCATACTACAAGTATAAAGTATAACTGTTTATATTTTAGTAAAATAATACTCGGAAGGGACAAGAAAAAAGAGGAATCGCTCATAATTCGTTCCAATTCATGCAGTATAATATAATTGTATTTTGCGCTACAAGCTCTTTATCTTGAGTTCTCCAATCTATCTCTCGTGCTCTTCTTCCAGATTTAGAGATTTTATTCATTATCGACGCAATTACTCAAAAGTTCAGGCATTCTGATTCCAACGCGACGCAAATAAAGTTAGCATATCATCAACCACCGTTACGTGTTGCTTCCTGACATCGGGCTGCTCGCGATTGCGTTTAAACGAAGCGGCAGTACGAGGTGGATCCACCGAGCTGACCAAAGTGGGACGACGTTTCGGCGGGCACGCGAAATGTCGGCTTCCGCTCCTCCATCGTTTCTATACGTCAAAGAGACGCGAGCATTCATCACCTCTCGATCCCTCTACTCGTTATATCTGTTATTTCTTCCTTTTTTTCCTTTTCGTGCGACAATGTGACGCTGCCATTTCTCGTTGTGAGTTCGGCTCGGCCTTTCCCACACGTGGGATTGTTTGCGATGACCTCTGACTCCGTTCGGTGCGCACGTCGCAACATCATCGTTACATTCACGCAAATAGCCGCCCGATGCTCGAGGCTAATCAGGACGGGACTCGCGCCGCTCTTCCTTTGCCC